GCGACGGAGCGTTGGATATTTACTTAAAATATAATATAAGACGAAGAACCTAAAAAATTATAATTCTATAAATGTATAATATTTATTAGTTAGGTACTACTATTTATTCTCGTGRACACAAAGTTAGCAAAATCTTACTCCGCTGGGTGTCGGTTGGATTTTACTATGTGTCCATTTATACACAAAAACATCCTTGAAAAATGGCCTGATATATATAATTATAGTGTTGTGTACTATGTACGATGGTCTTTTTTTAAATAACAATTATTTTATTATTTATTGTATCTCTTTTTTATTTTWTTTATTTATATCTTTTTTTACACTGATTTAAACTGTTTAGAATAGTTAATTTTTAATTTTTATAGATACCTTTTTATAGATATACCAAATACTTGATTGGTAAGCTAGTAGAAACTGTACCTAATACTTAATTTACTATCATGGTTAATGACAGATTTATTAGTAAAAAAAAAAAATAACTATTCCTACTAAGTAAACTGTATCTAAAAGCTTCTGTTGTACCAACGATTTATATTAATATTGTTACATATACATATTTATGTATTTTTTTCAGCAAGGGTTACTAAATTTGGAGCTTATGTGTATGAGGATGGAACAAAATACATTGGAGACTGGAACGATCGAGGTCGAAAACACGGCTTGGGCCACGTCCAGTTTAAAGACAATACACGATATGAAGGAGGATTCAGTAATGGACTTTGCTCGGGTCTTGGAGTTCTCCAGTATCCGGATGGAGCGAGGTAGGTATTTAAAAAAAAAATCATATTAGCAATTARCAACAAAATAATATTATTATTATTCAAGTATAAAACGTTAATAGATATACCTATAGTAACTTATTCATGCAYTTTTTATATTTATGAAATATGAATGCACTGCAGGTACGAAGGAGAATTCATGGAAGGATGGTTTCATGGTCACGGCATGTTTTGGAGGGCTGATGGCATGAAGTACGAAGGGCAATTTCGAGGTGGTCGTATCTGGGGATTAGGTAATATGGATTACAGTAATTACGCACAAATAAAACTATTCAATCACACCGACTCGAGAGCTAAGTCCTAAAACATATATTTGGTATATAATAAATTCTTATACATGCGTATGCGTACATATTATATAATATATAGTACTTACTACTTATATATTAAATCAAATAATAATAAATCGTTCCATAAAACATGAAATATCGTTTTTAAACTTGTATAGGATTAGTAACATTTAAGGACGGATCCCACGGACTTCCGAGACACGAAGGATTTTTCAAAGATTGCAAATTTGTACAAAAGAAAAAATGTCCGTCAGTCGTTACAGATGCACAACGAGCAGCATTGATGGCAAGAATACAAACTGAACAAACATAATTTTTTAATACAATTTAGTGTAAAGAATAAAAAAAATATATATATAATTCTTGATAAATAATTTAATAGAAATGGGATTTTTTTTTTTATCTCGAATGATTTTGTAATTCTTAATAGTTGTAATGTTAAAATGACGCCATATGTACATGGGTTGTCTTCGAAATAAAACGTATACAACATACCAAATTTTACGTCCACAATAATTATTGTACCCTGTTATTTTTAATAATATTTCAAATTAGAGTGAATTAAGCTATCTAAACCTTTAAAAAAATATAAAGGTTAGATTGCCATCTTGAGCATCTCTGTGGATTTTATTGATATTTTAATTACAAAGTAAATTGTAAGCATTTTAAATCTATAATTTTTATAYAACTCTTAAAATGGTCATCGAAATTAGCTTCAAAATTAAAATATCAATAWAAGCCTCCAATATGCATTATAATCTTACTGATAGGAAAAATATAGTCATCCATCGACTATCAATATGACACTCGCAGATTGATTGATTTTTTAGTTGGCTTACTTATTTATTTTTATTTTGTATTTGTTAAAACTAAGACAGAGTTAACACTTAATATATTATATAATATTAGAATAGTTATTGTGTTTTTGTAAATTAAACAAGAGTGGAATTTAATACATTGAATAAAGTTTATCTATCTAGTAWCTACATTCTACATACATAATAATGATGGATTTAGTATAATTACATTTCTAATTTGTTTGAAATGTGCTAATATTATACTSTAAATTATTTTCAGAGGTATATATATTATTATAATTTATAAGTATAATATATTAAAGTAGATATGAACTTCATAATATTTTATTASACTGGGTAGTTATAATAGTATTTTGAATTGTACATTTCTAACCTAGTGAACTTGACCTTGCATTAGTACAACAAGTGATAAATAGTTGTATACAGACTACACATAAACATGTACTTCCATACCTATGTAATACGCATGTATATATGTGATAATAAGTAATATTAATTATTAACATGATATTATATAAATATTAAACACAATAATATATAATCTATAATGTAAACATATCGTTTTGAATTTATACCACTGAATAGAGTTTTAATTTTAATTATTATATTTACATTTATTAATATTTATGAAATATAATGTAGGTAACTACACCCAAGAACTATAATTAAGTAAAATTTATATTTATTCATAATCTATTTTAAAATTATA